TAAATGGAGTAGAGTGACTCCAGCATTTAGGCACAATCTGTTGGTATAGGCTATTTTGCTCTCAGTATAGGTATCTTGGACTTGCTTTTCTTTCTATTGTAGAAAAAAATTTATTGCTATAAATTCATTAAGTCATCCCAATTTGTAATAAATGTGATTTACTTAAACCCATATATTGCAAAAATGTTTCTGGTTTATTTATAAAGCCACTTCCTCCCTGATTAAAGAAAGCCAACTAAAGAAACTACTATGTTCTTCTATGCATTACATGCTACATGTTTAAAAATCTGTGCTATTTTCTTGGAAAAAAAAAACATTTGCCATTCCTGTGTTGCAGCCATTATAATTAAGATGTCTCTGCATAGATGGCCCTGTTTCAGTGTTCTTTGGAAAGTTTTAATAAAATGCTTTGTTCCTTGAAAGTTACTAAATTACAACTGAATGTAGTTAAAACTAAGTCCTTTTACATGTAGTTGAGACAGCATGTGTGGTGTGTGCTCACCATCACCCCTTCCAATGACCTGCTCCTGTTTCTTTAAGTCATACTGCTATTACTTCAGTCATCAAACCCTTTCTCTCTATCTGAAGTCATTCATTGCCACAGTTCTTAGCCATTGTTTTATGAAATGGAGTATTTATTTGTACTTTCTTCTGGACTTAAACTCCCCAGGAACTTAGAGAATAGTCTCTGTGGTTTAAGCATTAGTGATTTTGAAGTTCCTTCTCAACTTCTGTACTTGTTGAGTTTTACTTCTTTACTTAGTAGTACTGAGGTGTACTTGGGCAAGAAAATGAATAGCCACAAGTAACATTCAGCTTGTGGTATTGTCAGCCAGAGCCACAAGTGACACTCAGCTTGTGGTATTGTCAGTGACACAAACTAGGAAACCCAGCTCTCTGCTGCCACCTCAAAGACTGAGGCATTCTCTTGTCTCTCACAGATCTGACCTAGCAGTGTAGGAATAAATTATTGGCCTTGGCCCAGAAAAGAATTCAAGAACTATCAAGTTATGAAGCACAGTTGGGATTTAGCAAAGATATTTCAATCCAGATGTTAAGTGCGAAGGTTAAGAGAAAGAATGAAGCTTGGGGAAAGAACGAAGTATACCTGAGTGAGAGCACGGGCTTCTCAAGGGAAGGTTCTTTCCAATTGTCTTTATAGAAGCCACACATAGGGTACTGGTAGCTGCCATCGTCAAAGGGTTGCTCAGAGACTTAAGTGTGATCTCATAGTATTCCTGTGTGCTAGATAAGATCACATCTGGTCTTGAGTCACATGGGTTTCAGGGAAAATTAAGATGTTTCTACTATAAATGAAGGTTTGAGACTCCCAGAAAATGTCCAAGGAAAGGAATGAAACCCTACTCAGGGTCATATTCATTCAGGACTTAAGCCTGGATTGTTGCTATTTCAACGTAAGTTGCATGTGTGAAAGGCATATTGTCTCTGTTGACAACCTTCACAGCAAACATTGTACATTGCATTGGAATTCCTGCTTCTCAGCTGGTGAGAGGCAGCCATCAGAGTTTGGGATGAGGCGCTCCTCTCCTGTCACCTGTGCTCATCTTCGCCCTTGCCTTTCTATGCTGCTTCAATGTGGTGCTCAATCTGTAGGAGAACATTTGCTGAGTCCTTTGACCCCAAGAGCCCATTAAACTAAGATATACGTAAGGATAGGCAGAGTTAATATTCAGATAGGGGCTTAGGCAAAAGGAAGGACAAATACACATATACATTCCTTTTTCCTCCTTGCCCACTTCTATCTGAAATTAACCCTAATTCTTTTTTCTAGCGAATGGGGTTCTAGATAATAAAAATCATTATCATCTTCATCATCTCAAATTTTCACAGGTCTACTCAATCAGGCACAGGGGAAATAAAGAATGCAAAGTTTTAACTTTGATTTAAACAACATTGTTCATTAAATATAATTCATATTATAATATTGCCTTAGACTCATCAACTACAAATTGCTATCCTCACTTTGAAAGTTCAGACTGAAAAAATAAATTATAGTAAATCTTAAATGAATAGCATGCAATTATTCAAAACTTGCATACAGTATATTGCTTCTCATTGTATTTGTGGAATTCTAATAGGACCAGGATTATTTTGAGTGCATCACACAATAATATCAAATGGCTATTATAATTAAAAGGTATCTTAAATTTACTGGGAATTGAACCTGAGGATTCGCATATGCAAACACACTACCACTGAGGTATTTTCAGCTTTGAGAAAATTTGTAAAATATTTCCCCAACTAGGCTTTAATTTCTACTACTCATAAAAGTAAAATGCATTAATTCTATTAAATTTTTTGTTTTGTTTTTATTTAAATTAGAAACATGCATGCTTCAAATGCCAATCCCAGCTCCCCACCTCCCTTGTCCCACCACCAGACCCCCCTCACTTGCACCCAGGCCAATCCCTACATCATTCCCCAGGGAGGGTGAGGCCCTCCTTGGGGGGATCTCCAGATTCTGTCATTTCATCCAGGGCAGGACCTAGGCCCTTCCCCATATATCCAGGCTGAGAGAGCATCCCTCCATGTGGAATGTGCTCTCAAAGTTCATTTGTATGCCATGGTGAACACTAATCTACTACCCAAGGCCCAAGAGATTTCTGAGGCCTCCTCACTGACACTACATTCATGGAGTCTGGATCAGTCCCCTTTTGGCCTCTTAGCCATCAGTCTGGGGTTCAAGAGCTCCCCCTTGTCCGGTCAGCTGTCTTTGTGGGTTTCACCAGCACGGTCTTGACTGCTTTGCTCATTACTCCTCCATCTCTGTCACTGGGTTCCAGGGGGTCAGTTCAGTGTTTAGCTGTATCTGTCTCTAATTCCATCAGTCACTGGATGAAGGTTCTAGGATGTCCTTTAAGGTAGTCATCAACCTTATCATCAGGTAGGGGATATTAATGTAGTCTCTCCACTATTATTTAGTTTTCCAGTTGGTGTTATCCTTGTAGATCTCTGGAAATCTCACTAGTGTCAGCTCTCTCCTCAAATCTATAATGACTCCAACTATTATAGTATCTCTCAGCCTGATCTCCTCTATTCTTACCCCTACTCAAACTTCCTGCTCCCCTATATCTTCTTCTACCCTCCTCTTATCCCCCTCTCTTTTCCTGGTTCCCCCTCCCTAAGCAACTCAAAAGTTTTAAGGAAGTATTTACTAAAATTATACATAAATACTTGATTAAATTTTTACATAGTGTCTAAATTTAGCATACCCCATTAAACTCATATTTGTAAACATCCATCATAGTACCTCCATGTTGTTTTATATATAGCTAAAGGAAATCTATGTGTTTTTAGGATCACAATGATTCTACAGTAGTTTCTACTGTTGTCTTTGGCAAGAACTAGGTCTGGCTGCAGATAAGCAATTAGCCCAAGAGAAGAAAAAACTAAGAAGGGGCAGAATTAGAACCAAAACTTGTGGTTCTAAATGAGGACCTCTTTCCACCCTGTGCAGAAGTGAAAAACAATGTTATCAATAAAGAGAACAATGTCTAAATTATACATCTGAGCTGGATAGTGCTGTCTTTGTTTTCTGAATAAGACTACCTTTCTTTCTCTTTGGAATGTTCATTCCCTTTAAATTTTTATTTTTCTCACAACAGCCCATTTGTCATTCCATCTTCTTAGTCTGTCCACATTCCCTTTACAAGTCAGTTTCCCCATTTGTATTTTCTTATGAACTGCAACTAGATTCATTTGTGCCATACTAATCTATCATTTAAGGAGTTTCACAGACAGACAAAATAGAGAGTCTTTGGCTGTTACAGACATTTTCACAGTATTCACTTTTTCCCTTTAACGTGTCATGTAATGCAAACCCGACTGTCAAGTGTGTCCTCTCATTTCTTTCTGATGTATTAGGTCTTCTCAGACTGAATTGAGTACAATCATTGTGCACAGGCAAAACAATTAAAAATTTAGTAACACCACCACCATGACATCAGAAGTGCTGGTGCACAGCTTTAATCCCAGTACTCAGGAGGCAGAGGCAGGCAGATCTCTGTGAGTTCTAGGTCATCATCGTCTACAGACTGAGTTCCAAAACAGCCAGGACTACACACAGAAACACTGTCTGGAAAAAACAAACAAACAAAAAGCAAAGCAAAACAAACAAACAAAAACCAGAAACCTTCGCTAACCCTGTAGATGAAGCAGCGAAGGATTCAAAACTCAAGAATGGGCAAGCTATGCTTCAGCCAAGGCATGCTATGCTGTATCTCTGAAGCTTTCTTTGGGTCTGAATAATGCTGTTGAACACTGCTGTGAATTTTCACTGCTGGAGAACACTCAGTGATAACATTGACTACTGCTTACTTACTAACTTCATTGTGGCCCTTCCTTGTCTTACAGGTCTCTTGGTTGAATCTCTTGTAAGCATGAACACACACCTGCAGCCCATTTGAGAATTGAAAAAAAACACCTTGTTACATATGTATCTTTTTTAACTGGAGGCAGGAAAAGATTTGAAAATAAAGTGGATAATAACAGTTATGGCATATACATCTCCAGTCCCAATAGGGAACAGGGTCAATCACTATACTTAACTCTAAGAATGTTTGTGGATGAGGACTTTAAAGAGTATAAAATCCCAAGAGATCATATGATCATACTTTGCCAACAGCACATGAATTAGAATTTAAGAGGAAATTATATGTTTTAATGAAGACTATGCATTACACTCAGACTCATTTAAGTAAAATAAACATGAAATATATTTTTCCAATTCATATGGGCACAAAATTAATTTGGGATGTAGATAGTTGACACTCATATGACCCAGCACATTAAGATTAGAATTCCCCAAGCAGCAAAGTTTGTAAACTCAGTCCCTCTAGCAAGGATGACACCCTGTGTGCTTGCATGGTAGTTGGGATTCATTTATGTCCTGTATGTGTCTGTTAATTTGAGGACAATGGTGCAGTCTGGAATATTGTCTGTAGATTCTCACTCATATGCCCTTTCTGCCTGTCTTTAAGGTTCAGTTGAAAAGTGAAGAATCCAAAACATTCGCGATGAAGATTCTCAAGAAACGCCACATTGTGGACACGAGACAACAGGAACACATCCGCTCAGAGAAGCAGATCATGCAGGGGGCCCATTCTGACTTCATTGTGAGGTAAAGACATACCCCTAACAACGGATGTGCCAGCTCCAAAGGCCAAGTCAAGGCCAGTCCTCGCTTACACTGAGCATACCCTTAATGTATTTATTTCATGTTCACAAGGAAGGCTTGGGAAAATTGCATTTGATTTTCTAAAGATAAAACAGTTTGTCTCCATGTTAATTTTTAAAGAGAATCATATTCTCATATTCTCAAAGGAGGATTTTTCCCAAAAGAGACATCAACATTTCATTTTTGTCATAGCTCTGCAAATATCCTCATTGAACACAAGAGACAGAGAACGCAAGAAAATATTACCAAAATCAGTCTGTTTAGTGTTAATTTTCCGAAGGATTTATTTCTGTGTGTTTGTGGTGTATGAGTGTGTGTGTGTGTGTGTGTTTGCGTGTGTGTGTGTTCACATGTACTCATGAACATGCGATGTGTGTGCAGTTAAATGCACCATGTGTGGAAGCCAGAGATTGACGCCTGTGACTTCTTCAGCCACACTGCACCTTATTTTTTGAGACATGGTCTCTCACTGAACATGGAGCTCATTGATTTGGCTGGGCTGGCTGTCCAGTGAGCTCAAGGTTCTGCCTGTTTCCACCCCCAACACCGACTGGGCTTACAGATGGGTACAACCATGCCCAGATTTCATGGGGTAGTAAGGATCTGAACTCAGAGCCTCATGTTTACCTGGCAGGTACTTTTATCAGCTGAGCTATTTCCCCAGACCCAGTAAGTTACTTTTATGAAATGACAGCTACTCTGTCTACCTCAGTATTTTCTTAGCACTAGTAAGGTAACAATAAAGTTCTTATAGGCAAGATAAACTGTTATAATCAATTTGCCTGTAATACTCACAGAAAGTTAAGATACAAATTTAAGTTACTGTTTACTATTTATATTTATAAAATATGATATACTTTATGTCTATATACTTTGTGCTTATGACTACTAAGTCTTGCTAAGGCCAAATAGGAATTGATAGAGCCTCCAGAAACTCTCATGTGCACGTACTCATTATGACTAGCACAAGTCAGAAGCTTCTAGAGCTATACTTTGTGTTATCCAGGGGACACTGACTTCTTGTAGACTTCAGTGCCCATGTCTTATCACAAAATACCAAAGCTAGCAATCAAAACTCAAACACTGAAACATGAGTACTGGCTTTTATAAGAAGGGCATTGCAAATTATCTCTTTTATCTAGTTTGAAATTTTCAATACAATATTGTTAATCCTGCAAACTGAACCAGAACTAATTCCTTCCACCTCACTATAACTTTGTACTACAAATACGTGATACATGTGCTTAGTACCCTGTCTTAGCTATTAAGCAGCACATATAAGTGTTAAAACACCTTGTTGTAATCCATAATTATATATGTGTGTGTGTGTATCAATAAAATAACTCACCAAACTTTAAAAAATTAAAGATAATAATGTTCATACTTTTGTTTTCTTGTTTACCGTTCACAGGCTGTACAGGACATTTAAAGACAGCAAGTACTTGTACATGTTGATGGAAGCTTGCCTAGGTGGAGAGCTCTGGACTATTCTCAGGGATAGGTAGGAGATTTAAATCTTTTCTGTCGTGTTTTGGAAAACAGTGGCCCATAATGGTCTACAAGAGGAATCTGTCATTATCACAAATAAAATTATATTTACATTTTTATGTATGCTTGTATTTTTAAATGTAAACATGAGACAGCCAATAGCATATAGAATTTACTGTAAGTTATGTAAACCTTACCTTGTAACCACTGGTATGGGTTGAAACTACCTTAAAAATGGCCATTAGGAAAGTATGTCCACTCAGATCTTTGTGAGGTGTGATTGTCAGCTCTACTCTTCAAATTCCACACTGTGTGTTAACTTGGGGAGACCGAGAGCTGCATCATAACTACAGTCTGCATTACCTGTCACTTTAATTGCATCACTCGGTGTTCAGATGGTGACCCTATGTTACTTCTTCTCTCTATTTCATAGCTCTGTTTTGAAAACCAACGCAAGTTAACTACCTTGTCTATTAGGGGTTTCTGAGTTTAGGGGGAAAATTAATCCTCTTCTTTGCACTTTTTATGTAAACAATTGTATTTGCCCTTCTGCCCTTCCTCAGAAGGTAAAGCTTGGCTAGAGAGTACACATTTGTTTCTCTGAATTGTAACAATTCGTTCTCTTTATTTTTCATGTTATATACTTTTGTTGTTGTTGTTTTAAAGACAACTTTGTTTTCCTACAAATACTTTTTGGTTGTTTCCTATAAATGACCTACTGATGGTTCAGAACAAACAAATAAAAAACACCTAAGTGAGTTTGTTCACTTTTTCCTCTTGTGAAGGCCATGATAAGGACAATATTGCCCTGACGGTATACAAGAAGTACATATGAGATGATTGGAAATCAGAATATTGTGTGGCAAAATTCTTTATTAAAAGCACACTCATGCAACTTTAACTCACACACATGCACACACACACACACAAAATTGAGAATTAAGTTGATGATACACGTAGGCAAGCTGTGGGGACTGTTAAGACCTAAGCTAAATACTGATGTATTAATTATCCCCCATATTTCCCAGGTTTACTCTTTAGTAGTTATTATAATTTTTCATCTAGTTCATAAGACATTTTTCTTCAAAATTTTTATTTCATTCTATGGGATAAGACATATTTTATTTGATCCCCTCTAACATAAATAATTAATAACTTGAAACTTTAAAACTGTAATTAGCTAATGTAACAAATATGTATTAGTATTTATGTTATCAAATAGAATATAATAATGCATTAGTATGTTAATAAGACATAGGACATGCGTGACAATATGAGTATTTGATATACAATTTAATCTAGTAAGGCTGCATATTGATTGTTAGGTTTTTTATTTATTTGTTCATTTTGTTGCTGCTGGATAACATGTTTATTTCAGAAATCATGATTTTTCAAATCACACCACCTCAATTTCTCATCATATGTCTTTTGGATAGAGTTTAGGTCCTGGCCATTTTGTGGAGGGTTATTATTTAATTTCTTCTTTGGTAACTTAATAGATGGCACTGATTGAAAGTGTTCTAAAGAAATGAGTCAGTCTATCCAATAGCCTACCTACCCCATTTTACAATGGTCCATAAGCCTGCATATTACAACATACTTCAGATTTGTGTTCTCACTAATGACTGATGTCACTTATTAGTGGTGCCTGGCTCCATTTGATAGGAGATATTTTGTCTTTGTTACATTCTGACATCTCGGCATTCAGTTTCTGATAAGCTGAGTAAATGTTGTGATTTAATTTTAATTTCAGTTCATCAATTAATATATATAACCCTCTATTTCTATCAAATTGTCATTTCATGCTATTTAGCTAAAAAAGCAACTCCTAAAGAGCCTATTCCCATAGTTTGACATGAAATGATATAGCTGTCAACACGTAAGTTCTTTATTTCAAAGAGCTAAACAAAATGAATGATTTATTTATCTGAGCAACTCTCTCAACTGTTGTTAAAATAAGATTTCACTTCTATTTAGATCAAATTTATATTGCCACTATCAATTCTAATTGTTATTTTTCACTTTGAGTCACTCTAATGCTATGCTTTCTGACTGCTTTCAGTGGCCCTGATCAGTAGTGCAACAATGCACTACTGATACATTGTTGGCATGAAAAAACTTCTCAAAACTTTGAAACAAGGATTTCCTTGAGCCTTTAAAAGTGGTTACACATGTGCTTTTATGTGGGATATACTTGATATAGATTGTTGAAAGAATAAGAAACCAGCCTTCTAGGACCTTCTAAATTTGAAAATCCAGGATAGCTACTCCTGAAGAAAGAAAATAATCAATCTCTGAATTCAAACAAACCATGCAGTGTGAAGTCTTCTAAAACCCCAGTCATGTGCTGTTTTGATTAGCATTACTCTGGAATGTTCTATGTTCAGGCAGATTGAAGGCATATACAACATGGAATGTATATATACCTGCATATATTTATACATGTTTATTTTTAAATTAAAGCATTTATTTTCAAAGAATGATCTATTCTTAATAGCCAAACATGCTAAGACTTTGTTAAGAGCAAAGGAGAAAAGGAACTCAAAACAATGCTCTAAACCTTTTCCAGTTCCCAGGATTGCAGATTTGTAGGTCTACCTAGGTTTTGTACCCTTTGGAGGGTAATTAAAGCCTAAGGAACACCACTCACTCCCTGCTATGAATGTGTGTTTCTTTCCAGACAACCTTCCTCCACCCCTAGAAATTCACATTTGTGTCACTCAGTATATTGGCACAATGGTATATTCTTAGTAATGCGATCTAAAGTTCTGATATTTAGAGGAGTAGATGTCATCATACCTAGAGCTTGATTTAATCTTGAATTTTATTTGTATAATTTGTGTTTGAGATAAGGGCTCCCTACAGTCCAGGCTGACCTCTTGCCTAAGTCTCCCAAAAATTGGGATGAAGTCTGCACAGCTGGACATACCAGTACTAATTAAAAATGGCCCGCAAGACATCTGAGACATCTGTTTGGATTTGCAAATGAATTTTGTAAATATGTAGCCTCATTAAAATGGTCAGGTTGCTAGACTTCACTCCAGTTTTTAAAAAGAAGCAAGTGTCACCAAAATGCAAGCAGGCATCAAAGACCTGCCTATGAGCAAGCTCCTGCACTGTTGTTTATTGGACACCACCTGAAGTTGTGGTAGCTTCTGTTTCATCACAGCCAATTTAAGAGCTGGTAAAGTTCTTCAAGCACCCATAAATTGTGAAGTTATTCCATTGACCCTCATTATTTGAGAAAGAAGAAAAGATCATACTTACCTTAAGTCCAGTGAATAAACAAGTGAAAGATTCTGCTCTAGAGGCAAAGAATGACCTTGAGGCCCTCTTTTATTATTATTTTATCAATAAACTTGCATATGTACATATAGATAGATGTACACTTACAGATGAGACAGAGAGACACAGTGCTTTCTCATAAATGTTGGAGTTCCTTCCAGTGACTTTTTCTTCTAGTTGTATTTTAGTTCCATTTCTTCCTACTGATGAGAAGGTGTAGAAGGTAAATACTGATACTGTCTGTCTTGATTGCAGAATTTGCAGAGATCTAACATATAGCTGGTGAGAAGATATGTGCAGTGCTACAGCTCTATGGCATGGTTCTCTGTAAACACTGGCCTCTTTCATTTTCACATTGATAAGAACCATATCTACACCATTTAGAAAGATCCATATAAATTTGCTAAAAGTAGCCATGAACAAATTGATATACTTAAATTGTATGTTAATTGTAGATATTATACATATATGCTTATCATTGAAGGTGAATAATCTCTGTTTAATATAACTTATTTGGACTAAAGATATGGCTAAATGGTGCAGGATTTGCCAAGTATATATATAAAGAACTAACTGGGTTTGACACCAAGTAACAAAGAATAAACAATTAACTAATTAATGAAAATAATCTCTCCTTTGAAAAGCAAACACTTAGTAAGCAAGTGCTAATGTAGGACTCATTCTGCCCATGGCAGGGAATCTCTGCATTTTTTATATAGCATTGGGTTGTTTAGAGGAAGCCTCAAAGTCCATGAAACAATGTTACTGATCCCTTCTTGAGCCTTCCAGGAAGTAGGATTAAACTGTCCCACTCTTAAGGGTAATAATTCTTTGGCTTGATATTCCGATGTTTTAAAACTTCTAATGGAAACCCGTATAATATGGAGCCTTTTAGACATTGACCTCTGAGCCAACACTGGTGCAGAAATATAATGAACTCGTATACACAGGAACCAGTTTTTCTCCAGAATTAATTGCTCATACACTGTTCATTGTATTTTCTGTTTTCAGGGGTTCTTTTGAAGATTCGACAACCAGATTTTACACAGCATGTGTGGTAGAAGCATTTGCCTATCTGCATTCCAAAGGAATCATTTACAGGGACCTCAAGCCAGAAAATCTCATCCTAGATCATCGAGGTTATGCCAAGCTGGTCAGTGTATTTCACACAAGGGTCATGTCCTGAAGTTCTAAGTACCATGTTCATTTGTTAACACAAAATTGATTTTCCACTTCAGTATTGTGACTTCTTGAAAGCAGTGCTAGTGTCATAGTTTTCAATTACAATGTCTTTCCAATTATGTAAAGTTTTATGAGAAATTAAATTGGCTAGGTTTGACTTAATAATACCCCCCACAAAACATGGGTTCTATCAACTGTTAGGAAATGCCCTTGTTGGCATGTATTCTTAGACCTGGAAGCGCTAATACATATTAGTCTGTATTTCTATCCAGTTTTCTGCCATCTAAATACAATGTAAATAGTGAACATTTTAGTATATGATATTTAAAAATAATGTTCATGAGGAATGAGTTCTGAGGTAGTATTATCTACATTGTGCTAACAGCAATAACACTAACAACTGGTAAACAGTTATAAGAGTGTAAGAGAAGCTCTTTCATTTAAAAATGTCCAACTTCTGTGAACTTTGGACCTGTTGGCACCTGATTCTAGTTGTAAACTTTTGAAATTGTTACCTAGGCTTGGATTTTATAATATATCTGTGTCAGTGGAATGTAACTATTTGCATATAAACCAAATCACTTTGCAAAAAGGAGCTTTCTGTATCTGCAGCTCCTCCAGAAAGTTCCACAAAAAGAGAACATACTTGGTTTTATCAGCTTGTTTACCAAGAGTGGTGTATTGCTCTCCTAACTGTGTCACTCACTCTCCTAATTCTTCAGTAGTAAACCTTCTTGTCATATATTCAATACTAGATCTGTCAACTTCATACTGTCCAGAAGAAGGCATGTATAGTCTGGGGAAACTTTTAGAATGACCCACCTGGATCTCTGCCTCTTTAAAGCAGAAATTATTTTCTCTATGCCACAAACACTATTGGCAAAAAAAGAAGCAGAAAAATAGAAAAGTGTTTCTAGAAAGAACATTTTCTTTCAATTGTTCCAATTTTATCAATGTTCAAGTTTCACTTTACTCATTGGAACAGAATTTGAACAGAGCATCTGTGTTCGCAACTATGTGGTTCCTTTTAGAAGATGGGAATATAATAACTTTTATTTCCGTATTGGTATCATTAGTCTGCTCAGCTAATTGCATAGTTTTCTACAACTTATTCATAAATAGCTTAAGTGTCTTGCTTTCTCTCTCCATAAGGTTGACTTTGGCTTTGCAAAGAAAATAGGATTTGGAAAGAAAACATGGACTTTTTGTGGGACTCCAGAATACGTGGCCCCAGAGATCATTCTGAACAAAGGCCATGATATTTCAGCTGACTATTGGTCACTAGGAATTCTAATGTATGAGCTTCTGACTGGCAGGTATGGACATTTACAGGGAACTGCGAATAACAATAAACCTCAGACAGCTAGCTGTGCACTCCTGCAACTTAGGCACTCTGATTAGATGATCCCATCTCACAAACACTGATTGGTCAAGTCAGTAAAATAATGAACCCAATGAGAGTCTCAGTCACAGAGAAACTGGCAAATGGAGTGATGTTTTTAAATTTAATTAATTAGAATTTAGATTAAATATTTTAAGTGTTATTGAAAAGAATGTAAATGTTATATTATTTAATATTGTTTTAGTACCAATGTCAGTAAAAATTAACTTGGAAGGAAAGATACAGATACTTTTGTTTCTCATCATTCAAAATTAATAATCTCAAATATTTTTATAATTGAAGCATGACATTACAACACTCAAAGTTCTGATGGTTTCTTTATTTTGAAGCAATATTTTAGGAATTGATATTGTTGTTAAGAAATATGTACTCAAAGCTTAACATTTCCTTGTTGCCCCTGTCTGAAGCAAAGTTAAATTGAATAAATATCTGCATATTTAAAAAAGCATATACAGTATTATCTTGTCTGTACTCATGTATATAAATAATTTCATGGAATCATGTTCATCAAATATTGATTATTAATATTTGGGGCATTATATAGCTTATTTTCTACTAAATAACATTTTATAGGGTTATATGAATCTCTTAAGGTAGATTAAGCCTGTATCATCTTTAAAATACACAAAAGGCATCTCTAATAAATTGTTTAGTTCTCTAAAACAAACATGACTATAAAAGGCATCAACTAGAACATTCTAAATTAATAACAAAAAGACTAAGAATTTGATTGTTTTTGAAGCAAGATCAAAACTGGCACGTTAACTCAAAAGAGTGAAAAGGACATCCCATTCTGACACCATATAAAGTGCAGACACTAGAAGATTAAACAGCATTGCGTGTGTATCCATTTGAGTGGCAACTAAAGCTGCATTCCCTAGCTAATGATATGGAATGAAATGGAAGAACACACACAATCAAAGGAAATAATACCATAGCCTAAAAAGTGAAGAACATGAACTAATAATGATGGCACAGTGTCATAAAATAAAATAATCCTTAAGATTTATTACCCGGGGCTGGAGAGATGGCTCAGTGGTTAAGAATACTAGCTGGGTTTCCAGAGATCCTGAGTTCAATTTCCAGCAACCACATGATGGCTCACAACTATCTATAATGAGATCTGGTGCCCTCTTCCGGCCTGCAGGGATACATGCAGTCAGAACACTATACATGAAAGAAAGGAAGAAAGGAAGAAAGAAAGAAAGAAAGGAAGGAAGGAAGGAAGGAAGGAAGGAAGGAAGGAAGGAAGGAAGGAAGGAAGGAAGGATGGAAGGAAGGAAAGAAGGAAGGAAGGAAGAAAGGAAGGAAGGAGAAAAATGTATTACCAAAGAGGAATAAACTCTGTATTTAAAGAGTAATTTCTAAAGAAAGAATTTGTCAAGTTATAATCATGTTATGATCACCCAAGTGCCACCAGTCAGGCTGTGTGGAAAAGGCAGTAGAGTTTTGAAGACAGCACAATGACAAACACAGGGAAACACAGGGAAAACAGAGGGAAGGAGGGACCATTGCACAAGCTGCATCCATCAGTGGTTTTGCTAAAAAGGGGCCAGTGAAGCCTTCCAGGGTGCTTTGTTATTTTTCTAACTTTCATTCCACTGCCATTAGCATAATGCATATCTCACTCCATTGTGGTAGCTAATACAATTCCCCCACATAAAAGCTGATGTCATGAATGTGGCTGTAACAAATTTCTGATTCGTATTCAGACAGCTAAAATACCATCTCTGTGTCTTCTTCCTGACAGCCCACCTTTCTCAGGCCCAGACCCTATGAAAACCTATAACATCATACTGCGGGGGATTGACATGATAGAATTTCCAAAGAAGATTGCAAAAAATGCTGCTAATTTAATTAAAAAACTATGCAGGTAAGTATTTGAACTACATCATTTTAGAGGGATCATAATGTGAAAATATTCAACTTTTTTCACATGACGATTGTTTCATTTTTAGGGACAACCCATCAGAAAGGTTAGGAAATTTGAAAAATGGAGTGAAAGACATTCAAAAACACAAGTAAGTGATCTTTTTTATAACTGAGAAAGCATGACAAATTTCCCCAGAGTAGAAGTTTTTACTACTTCCCCAGAGTAGAACATTCAGAGAGAGTGTTAGCCTTTTATAAATCTTTCTATGTGTATCTAGAAATTATACTTATCCATATCCAGCAATTGATTGACTCTATTTCTCTCAACACTTACCAGTATTTATTTGTTGTACCCCTTTGGAACAAAGAAAAATATGTATATTTCTAATTTTGAGACTTTGTTCTCTGTTGCATAAGGAAAACAAAATTGCTCCCTAAATCATACCTTATTTCTTAAATTAAAAGCAAAATGCGTAGAGATATATAGATAAATATTTCTAATCATGAGTGACCATAGGATGCGAGAGCCAGGGACACAACTGTATGTCCGTCCCACTTAGAGTAGCTGAAGCTTTTCTTCAGGGTGTCTTCACTCAGGTGAAAATGGTATTCTTGACTTTGAAGCAGAGTTCAAGTTATTAGAAGAGATTCCTTATGTAAATACTCAAAAGAACATACCCAAGTGCAGATGTGGGCTTCTCAAAAGTGCCACACTTGTGTGTCTTAACAGTAGCCATGTGCTCAGTTTTGATGGTTATTAAGTTATATATTCAAGGGTTGCTAGCATTCTTTTTACTTCCTTTTTTCCTTATTTTTGCAAATGAGTTTAGAAGGTTGCTCTAGAGATACCTGGGATAGGATGAAAATCTGATAAGATAAAACTATGACTTACCAGGGTTGCAAAAGGGGATTAAGACATTTTTTACTATGCGTGGCCTTTAAAGTGAGAGTCCTAGGTAATTTTAAGTTTACAAATGGGAAAGGAGAAAGGCCATGTACATGTAAGACTTAAGCAGATTCCTTGCGTTTTAAGAACACTGTAGAAAAAGTAACATTGGGTCTGTGTAGGTAATCATCCTAACAAATGGTTAGTTGGGATGGAACTCTTGGTTCTGATTTAGCAGGAGGCTTTGACCAGACTCCAGAGTGAAAACTTTCTTCTCCTTCTCATGTTCTCTTTTCTCTTTCTGTCTTGCCTTGGTTTCCCTCTCTGAGACTTTGAGCCCTTAATCTTAACAGCAGATAATGTTCAAAGGTCTATATTTTAAAATGCCTTTGCTCTGAACAGGGATGCAAACATTGAGCATCCAGACAGCTAAAATCTAAACCTGTGATACCTAAGGATTAGATGAGAAAGTCTGAGTTTGGACATTGGAGGAATCATTCCATGGAAATCTCTATGAGACAGTATGATTACCTGGGACAACACACCATATAAATAAGACAGTGTCATATAGATTGTTATACTTATTATTAGCAATGAAAACAACAGAGCCTCTTTACTCATGAGATATCTGACTATTGTGACGCTGGCAACTGATTAAAACTTAAGTCAGCATCTGGCCTAGTTTGGACTTCAGTCATGACACAAATCCTGGCCTACCAGATATATATTGCTTCACTCTAATAATGAAGGACATGGGTTCTCCATGTGCTTCTATCAGAATATTGAGGGTCACTGTCCTTATCATCTTTTTTAATGTAGTCTTTGAGAATCTCACATATGTACACAATGAAATATGATTGTATTCACCCTATATTTCCACTTCCAGTTCCTCATGGATACCTTTTGAATTTCAAAGTCAGAGCCCTTGGGCTCTCATAAAATGTACTGATAGTTCTATACTGATCATGTGGCAAAACATAAAAGAACAATTCCAAGAAGGAATCCAGTGTAAAATAAATTATAAAGAAAACAGAGTAAGGTAGCAACCATTGAGTATATATGCTGACTGTGCCTAAAAACATAAGGACATGAAGCCAAACATGTGAATTTGTAAGGCAGAACTTATCTCTGGATTTAGGAAGTTATAATATTAAGATGTCTCACTTATTTATTATTTCATTTTTGAAGAGAATTTTTTAGAGCTTTACAGAATTTACATGTTTAAATGGCATGTTATTGGAATATCACTGAGGCTAGGGAGTCTCAGGAGGGACAACTGTATTATATAACATTTTGAGTTCTCTCAGTCAGTGTGATTAGATATCTATCCATCCTGAGAAGTTGTCAGCAGGCATGGGAGATACCTATATTCTTGACAGGGAAGCATTTGAGTAAGATTTCATTGTCCATCTCTTTCGCAGAGCATGCCAACCCTTTGTAGTGAGTTAAGGTAAGGTGCTTAGTTTTGCCTTCTTGGTGATTGTAGAGACAAAACAGATGGGACATTGCGACTACTGGATTATAGACTTTATGATCCTTTAACCCCAAAGACATAAATGACTAGAACAGTTAATGCCTTTCTTCCCAGGGGAGCATGAGTCACAAAGTCTCTGAATACTTTTCTTTTGAGCTGTTAGAAACAAGAGTTTTATGTTGCCTTGAGTTCACCAGTCATTTCAGTCAGTCTGTGATGGCGCCTTCTCTGATTTGGTATAGGATAGATTTAAGTTTCGTTCTGGGAAAGGTGTATTAAAGCCATTTCTGTTTATCATCTACCAACATTGCCACAGCTACTACAGCTTGTGAGCATCTTAACTGCTTACACACTGTAGAAACCAGCTGCAGAAGCAAGCTGTGAATGTCCCCTAGCTTTTAAGAGAGGAGTCATCATAACACTATGTCTTGTTCTGCCTCATAAAAGACAGAAGGCTTTTCTAAATGAAAACTTCCCAGTGCTGGGACTGATAAGAATTCTTGTGGCTTAGGGTCATTCTTGTCAATACCACACAAGTCCACTTAGTAAGTGGTCCTAAGTTGCCGGTTAAGGCAAAGAACAAAGCCCCAATAATGTAAAGAAATTTGACATTTTTTAACCTGTCCAGAGTTTTCTAGGACACTTTGATGTTGACTGCAAGTTTTTGTTAAGAAAACTTGAGCAACTTCATTCTTCAAAAACATTCATCATCAGAGCTGAAAGCCCATAATTCCATTAAGAGGGTAGAGCTAGTTAGGGCTTGTATCCGTGCTCTTTTAGCACTTGTAGAATGTCGGCCCAAGTCCTCTGTCTTTGTAAGTCTCCACTGAAAAGTCAAGTGTTATTCTGACAGCTTTGCCTTTGGAATGACTGGTTCTTCTGTCTGCCACTTTCGGTTACCTTTCTTTGTCCTGTTAGCCAAATGTTTGTTTGGTTTTTGTTGTTGTTGTTGTTTTTGTTGTTTTTTTTTGTTTGTTTTTATGAGACAGGGTTTCTCTGTTTTGTTTTGGAAGCTGTCATTCGAACTCACAGAGATCCGCCTGCCTCTGCCTCCCGAGTGCTGGGATTAAAGGCATGCACCACCACCGCCCGGCTCTGTTAGCCAAAATGTTTAATGCTTTGGTTATCATGTGATGCAGAGAGTTCCTTTTCTGGTCCCGCCTATCTGTGCCTCCTGCCCTTTAATGGGCATCTCTTTCCTTAGATTTGGGGATTTTCTTCTATGTATTTATTGAAAATCTATTTCATGTCTTTGGCCTGGGTTTCTTCATCTACGCCCATAATTTGTATCTTTGGTCTTCCTATAGTGTATCAGATTTCCTGAAATTCAGGTAGGACCCATAGACCGATTCCTACAAGTCTGTGGTAACAATGTGGAGTGTAGGGTAGCTAATACACGCATGTTTGTGAAGACGCACTATTGGACCTACTGGAGTTCCAGGAGCAGAGTCAGACTGGATGTGGTGGGCATGGTGGTTAGTAGACAGGAGGCTGGAATAGGTTTGAGGGACATACCAAAAAGTCCTGGTTGGGTTCCATATGATGCCAGGATACAGTGGTAGGTAAGGTGACTAGTAGGCAGGCACACTGGGCAGAATAGGTCTGGGGGAACATACATGGAGTGATGGGTTGTAGTCTAATGAAGGAGTTTAAGAGCCAGCCTTAAAAGTCTTCTCTCGGGGTTCAAAAGAAACACTACAATAACTGAAGGAACTAAAATCTGAGGGCTGTAGAAAAAGAATCTTCTCACAATATGCTATTTCTATTCATGTGCTCTTTACTGTTCTACTGTGCTGTACAATTTTCCAGCTTATAAACACTTACAATCACCAATTCTCTGGCTCTAGTCAGATGTAAGGTTAGACTTTTTCAGGGTCATAGAAACTGATAAAAGTTTTACACATGGGGAAGCTCATGAACCCCAGACTGGCAGCTGGTGAACCAGCATAGGACATAACTAGCTCCCTGCATGGGGGTGTCAGTTAGGAGGCCTGGGAAGTCTATGGGCCCCTTGTAATGGAACAGCATTTATACCTAGTGTAAGAATGGACATTGGGAGCCCATTCCCCAAAGAGGGATACACTCTCAGCCTAGACACATAGGGGAGGACCTAGGCCCTGGACCAAATGATGAGACAGACTTTGGTGATCCCCCATAGAAGGCCTCATCCTTTCTATGGAGCAGAAGAGGGATGAGATGGGGGTCAGTTGTGGGCATGGGAGGATGGAGGGAGAGAGAACTGGGATTGCTATATAAAATAAGATTGTTTTAATTTAAATTAGTAAAAGGAAAATAGTTTTACACAAAGTAGTAAGTGCCAGCTTTCTTTATTGGTCAGAGTGGGAATGATTTAAGCTTCCAAAAACTTCTTAAAGGAAAAGGAGATTGGGAGAGAAAGAGAGAAGAGAAGAGAAGAGAAGAGAAGAGAAGAGAAGAGAAGAGAAGAGAAGAGAAGAGGAGAGGAGAGGAGAGGAGAGAGAGAGAGAGAGATTAAGTCATTAAGAAATCTAAGAGGGGAACATATGTGCTTTTCTATCTTCATGAATGTGACTAGGTAAATAAACTAAAAGTTATAATCAGTGAAAATCAGGAACAATGAAAGATTCATCTTTTTTTCAGTGTGCCACTTTTCTACAGTGGGTGGAGAGAGTGTTGTGTAACTAGTCAACATATGTAAACAACGGGGAAGTGTACGGTGCTTGATTCATGTTAGCAATTTCGCCACCTGTTCACTGGCTAAAAGGAATCTCTTGGCTCTAAGGATTATACCCTATACTGTCTCTCAGGATAAAATTACACAGTAAATTTCTTGCTTCAATAGACCTAGGTAAAAATAAGTACAAAGAGTTAAGGATTTGCTTTAAGGTTAATGTGAGGCTAGCTTGGGGCAGCACTTCCCTAACTGCTGGTAGATTGAATCCAGGACTTATTCTCTAGCTGTCTGAGAGCTATCACTCAACAACTTCAGACACGCCTTAATTCTTGTCCTTGGGCATCTCTTGTGTGGACACTAACACTGACCAACTGTCTGCCAAGGAAGATGATTGCAAAGGGATACAGACTTCTAAGTTTATACAAAGACCTGGTTGAGAGAGTTTTGCCAGAATCATGCACTGATGAGGGCAGCCATCCAATATAACAATGCATAGGGAAAAATGTGCCTAGTAAACAATTAACACCCTGCAGTGCTTGTGAGGAAAAAAATCCCCAAGCTGTAATGTGAAAGAGAGAGCTCTTCACACAAGAAATCTCTAATGAGGACAGCTAACATGTTCAGAAGGCAGTACTGTAACACAAATAAATAAATGACCCAGAGACTGATATTGGGGTTCAAATTTCAAGCTCGATATCAGAAAAGCAAAGCACCCAGCCACTAGCTCTCACTTCTAGCTCAGGCTGAATGAGCTGATCCTGTCCCCATGAGCTCTCACCAAGCCTCCTACTGTAGCCTTTCCTCACTGTGGCTGGAGAATGAATGCCTCTCTGAGACCATGCTTCTATCTTATATACTTCCCTAATGTTGGGGTTAAAGGTGTGAGCTGTAATTCTCTTTTAGACTGATTCACTTTTGTGTAGATCTGGGCAGTCTTGGACTCACAGAGATCCATCTATCTCTTAATCCTGAGTCCTAGGATTACAGGTGTGTACCACCGCCTCTGAGCTTCTGGCTGCTGGAATTAAAGGCTTCTATGGCTTGTGGCTGACTTTGCTTTTCTGAATCCTCAGACAAGCTTTAATAAATCATGAATAATATATCACTACACAGTGTTCCTTATTGCCTTGCTAAAAAATGTCTATGAGATGTGCATCTCTGATGGCAGTCAATATTCCTTATTGTCTTACTAAATAACATCTATCTCCATGAGACGTGCATCTGATGGGTTGATCTCTGAAATATGTGTTGAATTCTCACTGCATAACTCTGTAGTAGTCCACTTGGTGCAGTGGGTAAAGGGGCTGATAGGTAGGAGTGTAGGCAGAAGACGTTTGAAGAGATCTGCCTATTGCCCCCTGTTGTTAAGTAGTAGGTAGGGTGGCTGACTTCCAGGTCAATTAAAGGAATCTTGGTGATCTGCCCGGAGTTCTAGTTCAGACTCTGCTCAGGGAACTGGGTATGATGACTGATAGGCAGGCTGGCATGTGGAATGGGTCTAGGGATCCTGGAGTTCTGGGTTATACTCCAAGCAGTGTCAGCTGATGTGGCAGATAGGGTGACTGAAGTTGAGTAGGCACAGAGGATCTGAGGAACCTCCCTGGTGTGTGGGGTAACTGGTAGTTATGTAGGCTGATATAGAGTTCCTACTGGGAGTTCCATGTTGGACTCTATATGGTACCAGGGTGGCACCAAGGCACCATGGAGGTAGAGTCGCGGATAGACGCCAGATAGCAGAATGGGTCTAGAGAACCTAACTGAAGTTCCAGGTCAGACTCCATGCAATGTTGATGATGGTGGCTGGGCCACAATGGGTAGGTGGCTCTAACTAGAATGGCAAGCACAATTAGTCTAGGGAATGTACTTGGAGTTGTTCATCAGGTTTCATATGATTTGGAAGTGGTGTGTTGTATCAGGTGACTTTTAGGCAGTGACCAAGGCAGAATGGGTGGGGAGAACTTACCTGGAGTTCCAGGGTATGTGGGGAGGTGGAGAATAGAGAGATAGTATCACTCACAGGTGGGCAGATGGGCTGTGTAGGTCTCAAGATGCTGTTGGAGTTCCTGGTTGTACTCTACATTGTGCCTTTGCAGAGCAGTGAATAAAGTGACTGATAAAAAAGACATAGGGACAGAATGAGTCTAAGGGAACTGCCTGGAGCTCTGGGTCAGATTATAAGTTCTATAGTAGCAGCATGTGGATAGGGTAGCTAATAGGCTCACAGGCATATTAACAGATACAAGGACCTACTTGGAGCCCTCAGTTAGACTTAATATTGTATGGTAGTTGCACAGTAGTTAGAGTGGCTGATAGACAGATTGAAGGCATCAAAGGGACTTTGTGGTTTTGCAGGATATTTAATTACACTGTGATTGCTGGAAAAACCTCTATCTAATTGTGGTATGGTTCAGCCTTAGCACACACCTTTAATCTAAGAGCTTTCTGCTTGAATATTATAAACAGGGTTAAATAAAGTCAACCGTAGGTAAAGAGTTGGAGAAAGCAATCAGTTTGCAAGAAGTAAACATAGGATTATTAAGACCCTACCCAAGGCACTTATGCAGCCACCCTATACTCTGATTTACCAAAAAGAAGGAGGGGCAAGAGGGGATGAGAGAATATTTCTTAGTTAACTTTTGAGCCACCAAAATCATATATACGGCTATTTCCAACATGGGTAGCTTACCATCTCTTGAAAAGATCATTGCTTACTTGGGTGAGTCTTACTCTTCACAGGTGTTTCTCTTTCTATCAACCCCCATGCTGAAGTCTATGTTAAAATATTTTCATAACCAATTTTCACTATGCCTCATACTGACTCACCCTGAAATTATTTTCTGCAGTAAAGCTAAGAATCCCATTTTTACCTGGGTAGATATCTCTGAAAGACACATCAGGCTCTTACAAGTGACAGTGTAGAACTGGTCTTTGACCTTCCACCCCCACTGCAACAGGTATATTGATTCCCTGGCAGAGATGAAAATTATTTGTGATGCATAGAGCTAAGCATATTATTGTAATGTGCATTCTTTCCTGCCAGCTGCCTGAGTCCCCAAATAACACATGAGACACTATATTAATTATGAAGCTGTTGGCCATTTGCTATGGTTTCTTAATGGCTATCTCTGATGTAACCCATAATTACTAATATATATTTTTATAAGGTCTTATCTTTCCGAGGATGCCATCCTGATGCATCTTCTCCTCCCAGGATCACATGGCGACTCTTACTCTTGACTACATTCTCAGAATCCTCCTTCCCTCCTAGTCCCACCTATCATGTTTCCCTATTGGCCAACAGTGTTTTATTCATTAACCAATAAGAGAGACATAAACACAGAAGGACTCCCCCCAGCATATTATGACATTTATTAAATTATGGTAGTGCAAGAACTTAGACAGACAAAATTGAAATTGCAAAAGAAGTTGCATGATAAATTAGTGTGTGAATTTGACAATTACACCTTAATTGTAAATATTTTAAAATTTACACTTAAGTGTAAAATTTTTAGATACAATTATTTTAAACTAGTCTAGAAGTTTTTTGCAGTTTATAAATAAGCTCTTTAAAAACATTCAGAGCCAGACAGATGTGGTAGAACACATCTGTAGTTCAAAGTCGCTATCACCTACAGAGTAAAATTGAGGTTGTCCTAGACTACATGAGACCCTTGTACCTATTAGGTATATCAAATATGCTGTAGTGAAAATATATAGCAGAAATGCATTGTCTTAACTGTCTTTATTTTTGTTTCTTAGATGGTTTGAAGGCTTTAATTGGGAAGGCTTAAGAAAAGGCACCTTGACACCTCCCATAATTCCAAGTGTAAGTAGACTTTTTTAGCTTATAAATGGTATACACTTGATGGCATTTTTTCAATCAGCAAAGACTTGTTATTTTTAGAGTTTTATGATCAGATTATAAATAGTATGAAATTCCATATTAAAATGATAACATATTCTAAAATCCAAACATAATAGCAACAAATCTAGGAATGGTTATTACAAGTATGATCTACCTTTATATTTTTAAATTCTTCGTTGGAATTCAAATTCACTTTGTCCATGAAGACAAGCTAGCTTTTGTTATGGTACATGATAAAAATGTGTTTGTAGCTAAAAGAGTATACAGAATTTACAGCAACCGTTTTCAGTACTGCTTCATTCACACATTCACACCTACTCCAGCCTGACTTGAAGCCATATGCTCTTTCCTCCTTCTATTAATATCTGAAAGGAGGTTCTCTTCTCCTAATACAATTTATTGGGAATGGGGGCAGGGCATGCTGTTAAGTAGCTAGTTTGCAACTTGAACTGTATATACCATATTAGCCTAAAATATACTTCAACTGAATGAAGTCCATTGCTCCTGTTTAATACAGCATGCTGCATGTTAGCAAAATAGGAAGGGACAGATTTATAGTCCTATGAAGTTTGTTTATATACTTCAGATCTCTAGGACTAACTCAAGAGTCTTTGTATATCAAAACATTTTCCTTTCTTCTAAGATTTATTTCTTTGTTGTTTGCAAAATAAAAATATTGTACTCATGTCTCACATCACTGATCCCAGTTACATTCACAGGGTTTTGTCTTTAGAGTAAGTGTGCTGTGTTATAACATGGCATGATGGGGACCTTTGCAGATCCGGTGGCAGATAAGGAACAAGCATGCTAGGCAGATGGAGTTTGAGTGGGAAGTTTTATTGTGGGAAAGGGAAGGGACAAGGGTGAGAGAAGAGAAAGAGAGGGGGGGAGCAGGAGACAAGGAAATTCCTGTTTGCCCCTTCAGAGGAACAGCAGGAAAGAGAGCAACAGTGGGCCAAGTTTGCCTCTTGAAGTGACCTTTGCACCTTCATGAACACTACGGTAGTAACTTAGCAGCCATAGGACCCTGGGCTAGGCAGGGTACTGTCTATGTACATCTTCCCAGATGACAGGGAGCTGACCAGTAAAATGCCTAAATCCTAACATGCAGTAAGCTAGAATGTCCAAATATTTAATGTAAATTTTCTCACCTTAATTTATCAAGGATGACTTTTATATACTGGGGATAGTTACAAGGGTTTTGCTTGATGCCCTGAAGACCAGACTTTACTCAATTAATATGGAAGAATTTTGCTCAAGTTTAGAATAAATCTCTAAGCTTCCATTATACTTAGAATAAACATATTTCTTAGAATCCTTTCATTATACTTTTTAAAATAAACATATGAAATCTGTCATGTGGACTTTCAGGACCTATGTCCTGGCTTCTGCCTCATTCTCTGGTTTTACCCCATTCCACTATCCTCTTGTGCACCAGTGATGGTGGCCAGTTTGTTAGCTTTGGAACATAGAACCCTCTTGTGACCATGGTGTGTCCTGTACCCTCTTTATTGAACAACAACTCTTAAGTTAAAGTAATGCTTTTGCAAAGAGATTTTTCTATTCCCACTCACATTTCCCTGGCACCTCGTAATTTTCCTCATAGTGCTATTCTTTTATAATTCCTAATAGTTTTCTGTGATGTTTGTTTTACTTACACAATTTATTACTACAGTATAAACTCCCCTGAGTGTAAGAAGCATCCTGTTTTATTCCTCAGAATTACCCCAAATTTAAAGCAAAATATTCATCCCATACTATATGTTCTAAAATTGTCATTGAATTAAGGATATTAAAAATGTGTTTAAAAATTCAAACCCAGGGGCTGGAGAGATGGCTCAGAGGTTAAGAGCACTGACTGCTCTTCTAGAGGTCCATAGTTCAACTCCCAGCAACCACATGGTGGCTCACAACCATCTACAATTCAATCTGATATCCTCTTCTGGGATGTAGGCAGAACACTGTATATGTAATAAGTAATAAATAAATAAAAATCTTTAAAAAATTCAAACCTACTTTCTTGTGTGGTGTCATACACCTTTAATTCTAGCAATCATACATTCATTTCCAATACTTGCTAGGAGACAGAAGCAGATGGATCTCTGGGAATTCAAGGCCAGCCAGGTCTACATATTGAGTTCCAGGTTAGCAGAGGCTACCCAGTGAAGTCCTGTCTCAAAACAACAATAAAATTATGACCCAACAGAGCCCGGGCGTTGGTGGTGCCTGCCTTTAATTCCAGCACTCAGGAGGCAGAGGCAGGTGGATTTCTGTGAGTTCGAGACCAGCCTGGTCTACCTAGTGAGTTCCAGGCCAGGCTCCAAGACAATACAGAGAAACCCTGTCTTGGAAAAAAATATATGGCCCAATAGAAAAAGGAAATCTATAAACTTACATGATAAAATGCCCCAGTTCCATAAACAGACTGAAATCCTGGCATTTGTAACATCATGGATGGGACTGAAGATCTCTTTCATAAAAGTTGAGTCATTCAGATACATAAAGATAAAAGGAGTACACAAGTCAGCCCCATGTGCAATTGTTCTTACAAAGGTTGAGATTAGAATTTTGCCTACCATAGGCTGGAGAAAATATAGATGGTAAAAGAGTGGAAAAAGAGTAATTTATCATTAGCCACCAAGATAGGTAGGAGTTGAAATCAGGGTGATGAAAGATAGTACCAATTGGGGAACTTTACATTTCAAAAACCTAAAAGAAATGGTTTACAAAGTCTTTATAAAGAAAAAAATGTTCATCAGGCAGATATATTTAATCTGATCTAAATATTATTGAATGACTACATTGACCATGATATATATATTAATAACCATTCTTTTTAACAATGGAGAATAAAATCTATAGCTCACAATTCTACCAAAAAATAACAAAAGCCTTTTGTTCATTCTCTCATGTTGCAGGTTGCATCACCCACAGACACAAGCAATTTTGACAGTTTCCCTGAGGACAGTGATGAGCCACCACCTGATGACAACTCAGGCTGGGACATAGACTTCTAATGTATTTCTCTTACCTGCTTCTGCCTTGCTGAAGACAGCTTTTTCTGAGACACAGCTGCCAGCAAACCTGAGGGAAAGAGAGAAGATTAGAGCTCGGGGTCACCATGATGCCTTTGATCGATGCTGCTCCAGTAACCACGGTGGCATTAGGACTTATTGCTTAGATTATGATAGTGCTCTTTACATGTTTTATGTTTGAACCTAAAATAGCAGTTGACATGGTGGTCCTGAAGCAAAGCCTTTCACCAGTAAAGTGATGTTTTCTATTATTGCAATGACCTTGCTTGACTCCGATTATATTTTGAAAGAGTGTAGGAAACACTTCTATCTAGTAGAAGAGTCTGTATCTTGCTAGAATTACCAAGAAGAATAGAGAATAATATATTCGGTACGATAGATGACTGTGGTACAGAACCTGGGCTATTCCCTTTCACCAGGGGAAAGGTGTGGAGCCTACGATGACTTCAAGCCAGTATTTACATATATATTGTACAAGGAGGACCACACATCTGTAGGTCACAGAGTTCATGTCAAACCAGTGCTAGACGTTTCTGAGTTTCTTTCCTAGCTGATGACGAGACTGAATGTTACCTTTTCTTTATGATAGATTCTAAAAATTGGTCTGTTAAAAAAAAAAGCACAACTGCTGTGGTTTCTGTACAAGCCTCCTATGGCAGGTACATATGCGTTTTTGGAGAATTGAAAATGTGCATGATAATTGAGAAATTGACATGACAAAGTGGAGGGGGAAAAGGAATTCACAACACCATTTCATATCTTTAAAAAAATACATTGTGCTTAAAGATGGTCCTGGAAATGACTAGCAGCCAATTGGTTTTATTTATTACCTAACACCCTCAAACTGAGGCTTAAGGTAGTCCCTTTTATAAGAATAAACCCTTGGGCTAGGGGTGGGGTAGGGTGGGGAGGAATAAAGACCCATCCAAAAAAATATAAAAATGCAAAGGTGCTATGTCTATCTTTCATCTGTAATGTCAGTGTCTGAACAGACAACACAGATTCCAATCATCCTGTCTAGCCAGAGACTCAAGCATTTTCACTAACTTTATTAAAAACAAACTCCTGTCATGTCACAACACAGTCCAGGGCTCAGTGAGAAAGGACATTAAAAATGTATTTAAACTAGTCTCTTGTCTTAGGCCTGAACCAAAACTATATACATATATATATATATATATATGTATATAGTTTTATATATATAGTCTGAAAGCACAAAATCAATGGTATTATGACTTACTATACTAAGGAGTTTCGTTTATTTGAGATCAGAGAAAAAGACAAAACCAGGCCAGGAATTGAGGGCCTTTTCCCTGGATAAGTTTGTCAAAGTTAGAAAGGGTTAGAGAGGAACACGAGAGACTGGTTTCTTAAAACTGCATTTTATCTAAATAGAGCAGAAATGTTACAACCTTGAAATTTCTCTTTAGCTAGAAAAGACAAGATTTGAAAATGTCAAGCTAACTGTCTTTTTCACATGAGGGAAAGAATTATCAAATTAAAACAAGCATGTTGTTGGCAGGTCAGTTGACCACTATTATTAAGTGGCAGAATTTTCCAGAAGCTTTGTTGATAGGTAGCATTTTGTTTATACAGATAAATGTACAACTGTCCAACATGGCATCCTGATTTGGAAATGTGTGTTAATAGAGGTTTGCTATTTTTCCAGTAGGATTTTTATGTAGAAATTCCTATAAAATGTTTCCACTGGATCATCATGGCCTACCCAATAAGTCACATGAGCTTTCTTTGAAATTTCATACTCAAAACTACTTTCAAATGTGGTACCTTTCAAAATGTTTGAAAACATTGGAAGCCTAAAACTACTGAAACTATATTTAATTAGGGTAGAGTTCAATTAAAACTTTGATCCTGATATCATTATTATTATTGTGTTACCAAAATCCTCTCCTTCATAAACAGTTTCTCAAGATTACTAGAGTCACCAAAATATGTATATTCAGCAGACTAAATAATATAAAATTAAACACACCAGGCTAAAATTCAGTGATTTCTGGAGGTTTACATATCTCGTAACTGATTTAAAAAAGAAACATATTAATTCTAACATTATAATCAGTGTTTCATATTTTTGGTTGCAAGTAGTGTGGTTTAGGTATGCTAAAGGCTTGCAAGGATGCTACATTTGCCTTGTTATTAGAAAAGGAAATGTCTCTCTAATTTTTCAAATATCCACAAATCCCCAGGAATTTGTATGGACCACGTATTTTGGGACTTGGGTTCGAGGCTAAGGCAGCTCATGTGAATGAATAGGTGGGTTCTATGAAGAAGAAAGGAGTTGCTTTCAGCACAATGTGACTGTGGGCTGTTTTCTACTTGTGATACATCTTTGTTCATTTCATCCACACCTTTCATTAGAATGTCCAACACAATCACAAGAGATAAAGGTGAACTCTCTCTTCCAAGAATTGCTAACAGAAGACATTCATCAGATTTTCAACATGAATTTTAAGGATTTAAATCTTGTCTTAATGAAGACACTAGGGCTATAATTCATGGTCAGCTTCATAAACCACATCTTACTTTCTGGACTTTTCCATGCCCCCCGGTTTCTCCTTGTTTTCTTTTCTTGCACTAAAGACTATCTGGATAAACTAGAATAGTGCCAATTTGTTTGATTTGCTAACTGACTTCCTTGTTGATTCTTTTGTGTGTGGGAAATAGGGCTTTCTGTGTGTCTTAAATCACAGAAAAACAGCAAACTGCCAAGGAAAGGACATCACAATATTTAATTAGAGTGAATACATTAGAGAAATATGAGTTTTGGATAATTGTTTAAGTTGATTTTTCTACTTATGACCATCTTTATTATTTGAATATGAATCAGATCCATGTAGCATTTTTTAAAAACTCATTTTTATTATAATCCTCACAAGTCATGGTTTTTTTCTTAATATTAGGGAACATACATGTGAATTACACATGTAGAATAATAAATGATTGAATCTTTCTCACTTCATTTCTAAATGATAGACCTGATGGTGAACCTAAAGAAGTCAGCTACCATATTGAACACAAGGGTATTAAACCCAACTTTATACAGTAGAGGTATCTGTGCATTTTCCACAACATTTTCTTTCACAATAGGACCACAACAAATATTTATGTAAATAGATATTTTGGGGTGATATTTTGTGGTACATATAACTTTTTTTAGTGTTTCACAGCATTATGATTTCATTTAATTTGTATTAAATAATGTTTTTAGGTCCAAGTAGACTTGAATGAACGTCATTATTGTTAGTATTATTGAAACTTATGTCAACAGTACTGTCACTCATCTGTCCCATAGTTTAGAACATGACCTGGCTATCTGGCGTTGTTGCAAGTGCCTTAAACTCATGGCATCTTATTAAGAAAACAAATTTGGTGTTATGCTGCATGACAAAGACAAACACACCTCAAAATGTTGTCCTTTCTTAGCTTGCTGCGTTTTACAGTTCTTTCTGCTAACAATTTATAAGCCTTTATTATATATTACTGATGAATTACAGAAATGATGAAGTTGTTATCTTATTTCTGTTCAATGTACCAGAGCTGTGTGTCTGTTCATGAGATACAGCGTCATTTCTGTGAAATGTATAAATGTATGTGCAGGTCAAATTACTATATGACATACTATCAGTCTGTATACAGGTATTCCTGTTTTGCTCAGCTGTGCAGACTCCGTAAATTTTAAAAAAGAGTAGTGCAGTCAAATCCTAATGTATCTCATTTTATAGACTCCATTAACAATGGTCCAACCCAAAAGAAAAAATAGAAATGACTGCTCACCACACCTCGTTATGAAACCAATGATGAAAATGTACCTTGGTGCACCCCTAAACAAAACAGGATGCTTTCTGTGAGTTCTTGTATATGCAAATCATGTATGAGGCAAGTTTTCAGGAGACCTTGAGAGCAAAACGTTGGAAGTATGTTGTTAGCCCTCCTCCTTTCCTGTCCCTGCATCAACAGACAGAGCTCTGGGACCTTGGCCATGACTCAGAGGTTTGGGCTTTCTAAGTAAAGGGACATTTCTTTAAGCGTCATCTATCAAGTTTATTTCAACGTATGATGTTTTTAAAACTGGTCGGTTCTTTTGTATTCTTACAGCTATGGTTATTTGACTGTCCTCTTACAATTTGTGCTACATGAAAGAGTCTTTTGTTAGAATGCAACAAACTGTCATCTAATGGTCATTGGCCACTTGCACTCTTTTGATGTAGATTAAAAACTTTTTCATAACTTAACCTGCTTTGATTTGCTCTGTATTTTCCCTGCAGCTGTAATTGCAGAGTGCCTGTTGGATACTTTATAGAGTTGAAATAAAAAATAATTACTTTTGAACTTATCTGTGTTTAATTCCAGATTAGCCAAAATAATAGAATTGACATGGTACCAAACTGAACTTGAAATGCCAGTTAATCACCATTAACAATGTACAAAACACCTGCAACCCCGGTATCCTACATGAAATAGCAAAATAGAAAAGTAACTCAATGATTCGTCTTCAAAAGTTCAGTGAGAATAATATCAGGCCATCTAGTGTGAAGAGTGAAACAAGATTTCCACATCAAATAAGAAACATTTGATATGTAAATCTCTTTTCTGGGTCTTTGCCTCCTGAATTCTTCCACTATGCTTCACATAATAATAACAATAATATAGATTTTGAGGACAACATGGATGTAAACACTCACTTCTCTGAAAAGAGGGTAAGCATGCTCTCCCTGCTCCTCACTGCAGGAAATGACTAACCTATTAAAACTAGCATAGGAGAATTCAATGCTCAAATCAACTGCTTTTGTCCCACTGACCTACACTACTAGTGACAGTTCCTGAAAAAGCCCTTAATAGAAACTAGATATCCAGTCCAGTTACTTCCTCAATCACACAGTGAAACAATCTGAAGGAAATGCCATTTTAGTATTAGGATAATAATCCAATAATTTCATTTTTTCTGAAATGAGAAAAGTAACATGAGTTTCCATTACCTGCCCAGTTTTCCTACTGTAGTTATAAGAATGGTCTTACTTGATCCTTAAATTCTTTTTTTTAATTATTTACCATTTTAGGGGCAGTGTGATGTAACACTCCTGCTTATGAATGAGGTAGCTGAGGGCTAGAGATGGCTGCTCCCGCACAGACACTATCACATTGCATATAAAGTTCAGTAGATGTAAGTCACCACACAGTTATTCATAGGAGTCAGCTAGAGTCAATATACTAAAGAAGAATTTACCTAATATTTACAGATCTCCCCTTAGATTTTTTCTCAGCCTTGAATGTGCCAGTACTAGATTAGTCACTTATTACTGTGAACAGGACATGAGAGAGATGAAGTCTCCAATCTTTAAGTCTTGATGTCTTGGTTAAAGTGTGAAGTCATGGTGGAGCAGAACAGTCCTCATTGTGACATCCAGAAAGCAGAGAAAGGGGCCAGAGTGAAATGTAGTGCCTAAGGAAATGCCTTAAGTGCCTACTTCCTCAAGCAAGGTCTCACCTCACAACACTTACCACCTCTTTAATAACCCCATTATAGTTTGGATCTATGAAGAGATCATTAATCTAATATTTACATCAGAGCCCTCAGAGTGCAACAGTGTCTGGAAATGCCCTCACAGATATCCCCATAAATACCATTTATTAATTTCTTAAGGTTCTTCTCAATCAAATCAAACTAGCAAGATTTAACTACCACATGTATGTAATATAGGACAGGTATCACACAAAAATTCTTCTGAGTCCTATCTAAAGTTTTTTTCTGCATTCATCAGATATATTTTCCTTTTGAAGATATAAGCTCTCTACACAGTAGTGTCCATCTGTGACAGCTCTATTTTTCAGCCAAAGTCAGCCTATGGAGGAAATGATGAATTCATCCACAAACCCATTAGCAAAGTCAAACAATTCAACTTCAGTAAAAGGAGGAAAAGTAAGGAGAAGGAGAGAAGAGAGTGAAGGAAGAGGAGAGGGAAAGAGTTAAGTAGGGTTTCCATGGAACCCTAGAAAACTGAGAAGAAACCCAATCAGAAAGTATTTGGTTGTCACCAAATCAATTATACCACTAGTGCACCAATGGGCACATCTTGCCTGGTAGATTGATATTGTAGCACACAATGTCCACAGCTAAATGTTACTGTTGATCCCCCCCCCCCCCAGCAGACTAACTCGTACCTTCCAACACTATGACCCCTAATCAGTGGGGAGGAAATTTCTAGCCCTAGGCTCTAGACTGCTAATTCTGATGCAACTAGAGAAACTTCAGTATAATCTACTCCACATATGAGGATTCTAAAAAAACAAAATTCAAAAAAAGTTATTTTAAAGCAGCCATAGGCAAGGAAAGCAGATGGAGACTACCATCATGAGAACAGTGGGAAACTTCCAGGGGAGGTCACTGGGATTACAGGACTCCTATAAGGAGTTAGGTTATCCAACAGATCTGTCCTGCATCATTTCAGTTTTGTACATAAAGCAATTAGGTTAACACTTCTAAGACTGAAGAATAATGATCTATAAAGACACTTAAACCATGGCCTTTGAGGAACCAGTACACTATTGAAGGAGTACTGGTCTGGTATGTTGAGGATAAAGAGTTTCCCCATAGGACTCTGATTCTTGAACTAATCTGCTATGGAAATTTGAGTAATTTTCAGTAATAATTATTTTTAATTTTGAGATCATAATAGAATTATGTCATTTCTCCTTCCCCTTTCCTTGCCCTCCCATAGAGTCCTCCTTGTTCTCTTTCAAATTCATGGCCTCTTTTTGCACTAATTGTTACATGCTCTCTCTCTCTCTCTCTCTCTCTCTCTCTCTCTCTCTCTCTCTCTGTCGCACACACGCACACACACACACACACACACACACACACACACATACCAGTCCTACCCAACTGTGAGCCTACAAACCATAAGAATGAAAAGCGTTGCAAGGCACTCAGTGGTACAATAGTGACACTTCTATCTTGTGAGCAACCAACAGCCATCTGATAGGACTTAAGGTCCACTCAACAGAAGAACATGCATGCCTAGTACTATAAACTCAGCAAACCACCTGTGGCTGGTGAGGTCATGGACCCTAGAGAACAGCCTACTACTGCTACTTTCCTAAAATGGTGTAATTTCTGTCAGGAACCACCTGGCCTGTTCAAAAGTGTATCTGAAAGAGAGAGTGAGAATTAAGAAAAGAGACAAGAGACAAAAGATAGAGTCAGAAGGGCTCTCAGTAAATATTGCAACAGCTTTGAATTTTATTTCACATAGCCTTTTATACCCAAAGCCAAAGGTGAGGGCAAAAAAATTCCTTACCAGATGTAAGGAACAAACAAGTATAATTACTTCCTTAATTCTCAAAACATCTAGTAACCACGCCTTAGTTCAAATATTCTGTTGTCTGACCTTGAGGATCAAGAATAGGTTTGAGCCGGGTGGTGGTGGCGCACGCCTTTAATCCCAGCACTCGGGAGGCAGAGGCAGGTGGATCACTGTGAGTTCGAGGCCAGGCTGGACAGACAGCCTCCAAAACAATACAGAGAAACCCTGTCTCATAAAACCAAAAATGGAGTCAAATCTGTGGACTCCCACAAATTTCTAACTGCATTCTATATCATTTTACCCGAAGATAAACATAGCTCTCTCAACTCATCAAGGAAGCATCTTTCTGTCACCAACAGAGATAATTACAGAAATCTACAACTGGTCAAAACGCAGAGAACAACTGATTGTGGGGCATCCAACCCTAACCTACTCACTTACGGCACAATGTCTAAAGGCTTAGGGAATACCATGGAAGGTGGGGTGGAGAGATTGTAAGAGCCAGAGGACCAAGAAGTCTACTGTGAAATAATGACTTCCCTATATGAAGGGGACACTATGTTCATGAACTCTCAACAATATGGTCACCTGAATAAGACCCATACAATGACAAAACCAGTTAGTTGACATACCAACATGGATAGGGGAAATCTTACATGACCCAAACTAGATGAAGGCTAATGTGGGATGTCCTGCTCTATTCTTTGAATATGTGTTGCTTTTATTGGTTGATGAATAAAACTGTTTGGGCCTATAGCAGGGTAGAATACTATAGCTAGGCAGGAGAGTCAAACTGAATACAGGGAGAAAGAAGGCAGAGTCAGGGAGACTCCAGTAGCCGTCAGAGGACTATGATGCCAGATTATTACCAGTAAGCCACGGGCCACGTGGCAATACACAGGTTAATAGAAATGGGTTGATTTATGTGTAAGACCAGCTAGTAAAAAGTCTACACCACCAACCAAACAACTACAGTTAATATTAAGTCTCTAAGTGATTATTTTATAAGCAGCTGCAGTACCAGGTGGGACATAGAAAAGCCCCTGGATACAGAAGGCTACAGTAATTAATGACTGGTGAGAGAGAGGATTCGGTCTTCTCATTGATGAGCTCCCTGATAAGCTATTCAGTCCCAAGAGAAGAGTCCTAAACACACATACATGCACATCACATCCATACACATCCTTTATGTATACATAGGAGCAACACTAAATGACCTCCGCAGGTTGTACTTATACATACATTGCATGCATATAATAATTCAAGAAGATGTCATGAATTTGTGAGAGAATGGGAACATAGGGGAGGAAATGAAGAAGGCACTGTGTATGTATGAAATTCTCAAAAATTTTATTTTACATTTAAAAAGTAAACACTAAAATCAAAATACCAAATGATTTTTAGAATGTAGGCAATACTGAAAACTTCAATATTTAATAAAGTTGAAAATGTCTATATTCTACAACTGAAAACATATACCAATGGTGTATTCTTTTAAAATTGCATATATTCAATACATCGTTTTCCCAGAAGCATTTTAATATAGGAAAACAGATTAGAAATAAAACTGTTCATCACGTAAATAATGGATTATTAAATCAATTGTATCAAAATAAACTATGGCAACAATAAAATGGATATGTTAATTGCATGTAAAATGATTATCATATAAATAGTGTTGAGTCAAAAGCATTGAACAATCATTTTAACTATATTTTTTCTTCCAAAGATTTTTCTTGATGTTTCGCCTTCAAGTATGTATGTGCCTGGTGCCTGAAAAGGCCAGAAGAAGGCATTATGGATCCTCTGGACTAAAGGTAAAGATCATTGTGAACTAAAGTAGGGTTGCTAGGAACAGAAGCCAAGCCTTCTACAAGAGCAGCAAGTGTTCTTTACCACTGAGCCCCAAATGTAAACATAAATAAATAACAATTTTTAAAAGTTTACATGAAAGAATTTATTATGAAAAATAAATCCAGTTATTTTGATGAAATTTTCTACTAGATCTATTCTTTAATGCTTTAATTA